CCCGAGGGAGATATGGGGAGATACGGGGAGATACGGGGAGATATGGGGAGGTCGCCTGCTCGGTGTACAGGCGGTAGCACTTGCCCGGGCCGGTGCGGCCAGCGCGCCTACAGACGGTATTGTGCAGCGTGTTGAGAGGAAGGGGTGAAGACAACGAAGAGGAGGACAGTGAATACAGCGAAATACAGCGGAATGCAGCGGAATGCAGCGGAGTACGTGCCCTCTCGAGTGCTGGTTGGGAGACATGAATGCGTGGGTGCGGCCGGCGCGCCCCGACCGCTGCCGCGCCGACGCCTGCGAGATCGGCACCACCACCAGCGAGTCCATGCCGACCTTTGCGTTGTACACCTTCTGCTTGACGAAGCCTAGAGGGCGGGTTCGGGCACCGTGGGGTAGGGGAAGGTGGGTTCGGGTACCGTGGGGTAGGGGAGGGTGGGCTCACCGGGGTCGACGACGTAGAAGATGCCGTCGATCGTGAGGGATGCCTCGGCGATGTTTGTCGCGATGACCACCTTGCGCGAGCCGGGCGGCGCGGCCTCGAAGATGCGCCTAGGAGCAGACGCATGCCGCGTTGTAGTTCTTCTTTGGGGGGGGGGGGGGTGCCGCCGCGCGTAGAAATAGAGACATCAGGCAGCAAGGATGATGGGCATATCTGGGCTATGCCTGGGCTCTATCTCGGCTCGATCTCGGCTCGATCTCGGCTCTATCTCGGCTCTATCTCGGCTCTATCTCGGCTCTATCTCGGCTCTATCTCGGCTCGATCTCGGCTCTATCTCGGCTCTATCTCGGCTCCATCTCGCGTCTGCTGCTCGGACGGGAGCGCAGAGTAGACGGGCAGGATGATGAGCTCCGGCAGCGACGGGCCGAGCGACTTCATCCGCTCAAAGAGGATCTGGCAGGCGGTGTCGATCTCCTCCTGCCCCGTGAGGAAGAGGAGGACGTCGCCGGGCGGCTCCTGCAGGTGGATCTGCATCACCGTGATGAGGGCCGCGTCCATGTAGTCCGCCTCGGGCGCCTGCAGGAAGGTTCCAGGAACGGTCTAGGAAGAGTCTAGGAAAGGCCGCGTCCATGTAGTCCGCCTCGGGCGCCTGCATGCAGGTATGCAGGTGTGCACAAGGGTCGAGGGAGGGCTCTGCCGGCTCGCGCGAGGAGATATGAGGGAGATATGAGGGAGGTACGAGGGAGGTACGAGGGAGGTACGAGGGAGGTACGAGGGAGGTACGAGGGAGGTACGAGGGAGGTACGAGGGAGGTACGAGGGAGGTACGAGGGAGGTACGAGGGAGGGACGAGGGAGGGACGAGGGACAGATGGCGCCTTTGTGTAGAGGACCTCGACCGGGAAGGTGCGGCCTACAGGAAGGTTCCAGGAACGGTCCAGGAGCAGTCTAGAAACGAGCACCGCGACCGGGGAGGTGCGGCCGGGGATGGTGAAGATCGGGCACTCGAAGAAGTAGGACGAGTACTTCTCCGCGTCGAGGGTCGCCTACAGGGAGGCTCCAGGAGCGGTCTAGGAACAGTCTAGGAACGAGCACGCCTCCGCGTCGAGGGCCGCCGAAGTGCAGATGAGCTTGAGGTCCTTGCGGCGGGCGAGCAGGCCCTTGAGCAGGCCGAAGAGGACGTCAGTGTGAATCGTGCGCTCGTGCGCCTGGTCGAGCATGATGGGCGAGTGAACTACTTGTGATTAGTTAATCAATCGTCCAGCATGATGAGCTAGTTAACACCCTGATTAACTAGCTAGCAGTTAATTCATCTGTTGAGTAGCGCCTCGTCCAGCATGATGAGCGAGTAGCGCGACAGGTTGGTGTCGACGAGGCACTCGCGCAGCAGCATCCCGTCAGTCATGTACTTGAGGATCGTCTCGGGCGACGTGCAGTCCTCGAACCGGATCGAATAGCCAACCTCCTGGCCCAGCCGGCAGCCAAACTCCTCGGCCACTCGCTTGGCGACCGACATCGCGGCGACGCGGCGCGGCTGCGTGCAGCCGATGATGCCGCGCGACGTGAAGCCCGCCTAGCGCCACGCCTCCCAGAGTGGTCGACCCCAGTGTGGGTGGGGGGGCTCAGGCTCCGTGGGCGGTGTGGCAGCGACTGCCTCGGCCATGAACTGCGTCATCTGCGTCGTCTTGCCGGAGCCCGTCTCGCCAATCACGACGAGGACCTGGTTCATCAACATATTCATTCCTCAACGACTCTGTTAATTAGAGCCCGTCTCGCCAATCACGACGAGGACCTGGTGAATCAACAGATTCATTCCTCAACGACTCTGTTAATTAGAGCCCGTCTCGCCAATCACGACGAGGACCTGGTTCTCCGCGACGGCGTTCACCAGCTCCTGCTTCAGCGCCTATTCGCAGTGAACCAGCAGTTATGCACTCATTCGTATGTCGAATCAGCCCGCTCCTGCTTGAGCGCCGCGATCGGCAGCGAGGCGCGCTGCTCCTGGATCGACTTGTTCTTGGTCGGGAAACCGATCGAGAAGCCCTTGCCCATCGACTTGACCTAGAAAAGAACGACGGCGCGCTAAAAAAGAAGGACGCCGCGCCGGTAGCCCTGCCCCTTCGACTTGACCTTCCACTCCGGCACCGCCTCCTGCGTGTAGCCGAGGCCGCGCAGCTCCTGCGCGATGTGCCGCTCTCCCGGCTCCGGCATCGGGTCCTCCCACGGCCGGTTGAGGTCCTACGCAATCTCGTGCAATCTCGCGTCATCTCGCGTCATCTCGGGCGATCTCGGGCCGGTCGAGGTGCTAGGAGCTACGGCCGGCGGGGCTTGCGCTAAGTCTTCAGAGCACCGCGTGAGTACGGAGGAGTACGAGGACAGTGTGAAGACGGCCGTGACGGCGTCTGGAGGCGGCGGAATACAGTGGGGAGCTCCCGCTGCGAGGCAAGCGTACGTCCCCCGCTTCTAGGGGGTTGGCGTCCTTGGGGATTGCGTCCATCAGCGCTCGCTGCTGCGAGTCGCGCAGCTCGCGCCGCTCCTAATGAAACGATTAATCAACAGATTGATTACAGATTAACTAGCGAGTCGCGCAGCTCGCGCCGCTCCTTGGCCAGCGCCGACTGCGTCATCGCGGCGCGCTGCAGCGAGCCGTCGGGGTTGCGGACGATCTTGATCGGGGACATGGCGACGGAGGCCTTGGTCTGGCCGCGGAGGAAGAGGGGCTCCGCCTCGTTGAGCTCGATCTCGAGCTCCTCCTCGGTGGCCTATTGGTAATGAAGAATGGTAACTAATTAACAGGAAGTAACTAGCAGTCTCCAGCTCCTCCTCGGTGGCCTATTGGTAATGAATG